GGATTTCCAATTTTCCCAGCACCATTTGTTGAAGATGCTATCCTTCCTCCATTGCATGCTTTTAGCCCCTTTATCAAATATAAGATAGTTGTAGTTTTGTGGATTGGTTTCTGTGTCCTCTCTTCTGTACCACATAGGGGATTTTTGCTAAGCGGTAGCATAGTTAATATCATTGTCATTACTCTTACCTGGGGTCTAGCCTGGGAGAGGGCAGTGTGAGGACTTGGCAGGGTCTGGGTCGGTCGTGTTCTCTTGTGGGGGTTTCTGTGAAGGCCGTGATACATGCGAAGCAGCCGTGAGGAGGTGTGTGATAGCTCCTCCTGGTTGGTTCCCATGTGTTCCCATGCCTGGCTTGTCCAACTTGTTGCCAGAGCTGCCCAATGACTCTGGCCAGTTTCCACAGGCTCCTATCTGTGGCTTACCTGTGGGCCCTGAGATATGTTTGATGAGCACCACACCTCGGGCATAATTGCCCAGCCAACGGTTTTCTTTATGGCCATTCCCATCACTGCCCTGACTTCCTGATCTGCCTCTGTCCCAGCTGGTGGATAACTGACTCTCACTAAAAATCTTTAGAAAGTTCCAGCTGTGCAACTGGGAAAAAAAAGATACTAATAATATTGAGTCTGTTATGAATTAACAGGAAGTCTTAGAACTCAGGATAGAGAATTCTAGCATCTACGTTTCTTCTGTTTTCTGGCAGGCACAAGTTGGGAATGGTCTTTGGATAGTGGCTTTACCTTGGTCCTTTTTAAAACTCCCATTAGATTACTTCTTTTATCTCCAGGTAGGAACCAGCCTTACTGATAGATAAAATGTAGCTAATCTATTTCTTCAAATCATGATGCTAAACCTGCTGGAAAAGCAGAGATAAGGCCCCTGAACAAGACACTAAAGGGAACCTTCCCTTCTGTCCCTTTGGTCATATACAATGGGAGGGGCCAACTTCAGGAAGGAAGCCCCTATAGTCCTGGAAGCTCTTCTGGTGGTGGTGGGCCTGGACTAGGATTTCTCCTGACTCAGGATTGGAGGCTGTCATGTGGTCAATGAAATCTGTGAGCCCTCAGCTGGATTTCAGTTTTAAGTTCACCTGGGGCTCTGGGTTCACTCTACATCAGGAGGAGTCCTGCTAGTTAAAATGTTTGTGTCCCCACTAAGAAAGGACTTTTGGCCCCAGAGAAGCCACATATGAGAGAAAACATTCAACTCTTGGCTTCTTCATCTGGCATGTTTCACTTAGCCTGATGCTCTGCAGTTCCATCACTTACCAGCAAATGACATAATTTCATCCTTCTTTATGGCTGAGTAATACTCCACTGTGTATATATACCACATTTTCTTTATCCATTCATCCTTTGAGGGGCATCTAGGCTGGTTCCATACCTTGGCTATTGTGAACTATGTTGCTATAAATTTTAGAATGCAAGTATCAGAGGAACTGCAAAATGAAATTGACTAAATTATGTTCTATGCATGTATGAATATATCATAATGAATCTACTTTTTAAAATATTTTTTAGTTATAGATGGACACAATATTTTATTTTTATGTGGTGTTGAGGATCGAACCCAGTGCCTCATGCATGCTAGGTGAACACTCTACGTCTGAGCCACAACCCCAGCCCCCCTACTTTTTATATATAACATACCAATTTTTAAAAAGTAAATAAATATAAGGAAGACCAGTAGTCTAGAGGAAGGAGACCACACGAGGAGAGGGAAAGGTGGGTACTAGGGAATGAAATGAAGCAACTATGTTATTTGCATGTATGAATATGTCACAGTGAACCCCACTATTATGCATAACTATAATGCACTACTAAAAACATAAAAAGAGAATATTTTGACGTAGAAATCTTGGGAAATGTGGCCGAAGTTATGGGAGGAAAGTATTCTGCATCTCCTCCTCACCTTTGGCAGCACCTGCAGACACCTTCTCCCACAGATCCCGCCTTCCTCCCCGACCTGGTGAAGGTGAGAGTAGCCAGGTCTCCAGCTCCTGCTCCATCCCACTTGATGTGATGGGGTTTTGCATCCCAAGTAGAATCCCTGTTGAAATGGACTCTCTGCTTTCTAGGAACTAGCCAGCTGTGGATGGAGTAAGAAGGAGAAACACAGTCTGGCCCCCAATGTCGTGGCCTTCACCCGGAGGTTTAACCAGGTAAGCAACTGCCCTTGTGTGTGCCTGTCCAGAGGCAGTCTGTTGTCCCTAAATGCTGCAGCCCCACCAGGGTTCACTTCGAGGCACCTTGCCCCAGGTCCAAACCCTTCCTCCAGACCCCTGTGTTCACCCACTCTCGCGCCATTACAACCCAGTTCATAAGGTGGGTAGAACTGAACATGTCTTTCCTGTATCTATGTCATGCCAGGGGCTTCAATTCCATAAAAGCTAAGGTTCTAGCACCCTGTTGTGCTCTGAGAGGTCAGGTATCGGGATCCAGCCTCTGCCACCCTCTAGCCTTGCTTCCTATTCCTCCCTCTTCAGGCTTCACCATGCTGGCCTGCGTCTCTTGCCTGATGCATCGTGTCTCTGTCCTGTAGGGGCCCCATGTGTTCTGCTGTCAGCCCAGAGCTCCTCCTTCATGTTTAACTCTCAGATCTTAGCCTGTCCCCTAGGTCCCCAGCCTGTCAGAGGTCTCCCGATCATCCATTCCCTCATGGCACCATGTCCTTCTCTATGTGGTGCTTTACCCATCTGTCTCTGCTTCCTTGCCAGTCTGTGAGTTTCATAGGCCAGGTACCATGCACATCTTACTCATCACTATGCCCACCTGCCGCCTGCTACCTTGCCCAGTGTCGGGCAGAAAGGTACTAGACCTTCAGTAGGACCAGTGAATGAGGTGCTCAGGAAACAGTTTTGAGTTGGACTTCTTTGAACCCAGATTAACTGGCCCCATACTATTCCAAACTGACTTGATGGAGAACAATTTTTGTTCTGGTTGTGACGACTCCTGTTGCATAAACCAAACCCCCAAATGATGCTGTTGGCAATTTTTTCTTCTTCTGTTTTGTTTTTCTGGTTTCAAATGAGGACAGTGGCCCAGAGGTTGCATAGTGTGCATGATTGGTCCTCTGGGTGCTGGGGCCTATGTTCCCTTGAGGCCATGGCTCCAGCTGGGCCTTCCCTCTTGGAAATGCCTGGTCCTGTGCATCACTGCTATTCAGCTTTTCCAGCCCTCTCCAGCCTCAGCACCCATGTAAGCACAGTGGGAGCCTCACAGAGACACCAGCTTATTGGCTGAAGATCAGGTCTAGAGCGGACCGAGGTGTTCCTTGGTGAGATATGATTAAGAGCTAAGAAAGGCCTAGATGCGGCTGGGCTAGAAGCTGCATTTCATTTGTTTGGAAAAATCAAGTTCCAAACCTTTTGCTTCTTTTCTCTTTCGTTTGAAAATCTTTTTCTTTTCAACTGAGCTTAGTCTTAAGGAAACAGATGTGCATAAACTATCAGGGGATTCATAGTTTTCCCAACAAAACAACTTGACTGGGAGCCAACTCAGTCCCCTCCTCTGACCAGCCATGGAGCTCCTGTAGGAGAGGCTGTTGGGGCTCTGATGCAATCTGCTTTGCAGGCAGATGCCAGGCCAGCTTGGCAAAGGCCATGCAGCTTGTTCTGTGAACAATTGCATTATGTCCAGCTCAGGCTGAGTGGTGAAATGAGACAGAAGTGAAGTTGCATTTTCTCAAGCAGAATGCTCCAGGAAATGGACTTCCTGATGGCCCTTTGGCCGTTCCTGGACATAGCCCTGGTAGCTGTAGTTTGAACATTGCCCAGAGGCCAGGACGGTCAGCCACTGGGGTGGCTTTCTTCGAGATGAACTCATTGGTGTCCCTTCCTGGTGGGCCTTTCCATGTGAGGACAGGACTCCAGGTAAAAGGAAGCAGGTCACTGCCCCTGCAGAGCCTCAGTTTCCAAATCTGTAACTGAGAATGACATCCTCTGCTTGCATAGTTGTTATCAAGATGAAATGAAATGGTGGATGAAGAGCTTTTAGCATAGTGTGTGGCACCAAGAGGATGTCCATTTGTTTTAGAGGGAAGACAAGGAAAATGTGCAGATCAGCTGATGGGAAGGAGGTTGCCAGGGATTGAGGCTCCTTGTGGCCAGGCCAGAAACCCAGTGGCCAGTGTCCTGATCTGCTTGCCAGCAGGGCCCGAGTCCCTAGGGATTTCTTCATAGAACAGCTGCATGGAAGAGCTCAGCCAGGTTCTTTGGGGTCTTGACTTCGAGGAGTTCTCCTTACAGCAGAGACATTCTCCATCTTTTTTGGGTCATGGATTCTTGTGAGAATCTGACGATATCTCATAAGAACTTTTCCCCAGAAACTGTGGACACATACATTTGCATGTAATTTTAGTGAGTTGATTGCTGCACTAAAATGAATGTGGGGTCACTTTAGGGTCTCAGAGAATGAAACAGATCTGACCTGGGTTGGCGTCTTAGCCCCACAACTCATTAGTTGTACAGTGTGGGCTAGCTTTTGGCCTCTGTGAGCTCATCTTCCTCAGGAAGCATTTTGACTGTTTTTTGAAGATTAAATGAGAATCATGGGAGTAAAGGGGCTAGCCCCATGCTTGTCACACAGGAAACGATTAACATGAAGGGTTGTGGGAGCTCTGAGCCAAAAGAAAGGTTAAGGCCAGACTAGAGGCTGGGGCATAGGTATAGGCATAAGGGCAGGGACAGTGTCCAGGGGATGCTGAAAGTTTTGGAAATGATGAAGAGGAAATCGGGAGTAATAGAGGCCCAAGTGTGAATGTGAGGACTGCTGGTGTTTGTGGATGGGCAGAGGACAGGGGGCAGCACAGGCAGCTGAGAAAGGGTGGCCAAGAGCAGGAGGAACACCCAGGAAAGGTAGTGGAATCATTTTGAGAGAGAGAGAGAGTGCTGCAGCATGGGCCACGTAAGTCAGCTGGAGAAGAGGCCTTGAAACCTGGCATAGAGACCCTGCTGGTGACATCAGGCAGACAGTTTTGTCAGAATCGTAGCAGGCTGAGTAGGAGGAGATGGCGAGAGAGCAGGAGAGAGAGCAGGTGCTGGTGATCCCAGCAACTGTGACTCCAAAGGCGGAGATGAGGAGGAGATGGCAGGAGGGGTCAAACAGGCCCAGGGAGGTGGTCCTCTGTTTCTTCTTCTAAGTGGGCAGTCTTGAGGAGGTTCCTGTTTTGAATGGAAGAATCCAGGAAACAAGGAAAAGTTAAAGATGAGAAGGAATCCTTGATGAAGTATTTCCCAGAGAAGGTAGGAGAGGCTGAGGCTGGGGCTCTTGGGATGAGAGGTGCCCCCAAAAGGCAAGAGGCAGTTGTCAGCCCACCTGTAGATGTGACACAAGGAGGCCCTGTGGCCTCTTTTCTTCAGGAAAACAGGAGGCAAAGGGGGAAGCAGAGGATGGGAAAGTGGAAAACCCACTCCATGGTGAAGGAGGAAGAGCTGATATGGAAAGGCTCTAGTGCACTGATGGTGGCACAGTAAAAATTGTGACTTTTACAGTGTCCCTGGGGCAGTAGGCAGGTAGTCATATCTAGTTAACCTGCACAGCCTGAGAGTGGGAGCACGGGAGGCATGCTGGGATCCATGGTGGGATTCATGGTGGGATCCATCTGTGCATGCACACAGAGGCCAGCAGCCTGAGTTTCTGGAAGGACCAAGGCAAAAGAGAACTTCAAGTACTGGCAAAGGAGGGAGTGGAGTAACAACTGATAGGGGATGGGTCTGCCTAGAGGAAAAGGATGCCAAGAAAGAGGGCTGCCAGGGACTCCAGGGGATGCTGAGAGGGAGGGTCTGTCACAGTGGGGTCAAGGAGAAGGGTTGTGGCCAAGACTGGAGTGTAGTTGTAGGAAGGAGGTGGTGATGGAAGTGGAGGGAGCGATGGTTGCTGCAGTTGAAGTGGTCAAGAGGCATGAGGCTGTAGTTCATGGTGATGTACAAGTTGTCTGAGGAAGAAGGTGGGATTTGTGGTGGAGAGAAAGAAGTGACCCAGATCCTGATCTGCTTGTTTATCTCTATTGGTTTATCTTTTCCAGACAGTCTAAAAAGGAAGACAGAAAGAAAAAGGAAGAATACATATGTAGCCTGTTTAGACAGCTAAAGCAACTGTCATTATAGTAATAATTTGTGTATATTGAAAGGTTATTCACACTATGACAAAATGGGATATATTCCATGTATACACAACTGGTTCAAATATTTGAAAATCAATTAATGTAATGTATTATTGATCTAAAAAAGAAAAATAATTGACCTGAAAAAAACATTTGACAAAGTTCAACTTTTGTTCACGATTTAAAAAAATCAGCATATTAGGAGTAGAAGGCTATTTCATTAACTTGATAAAGAACATTAATAAAAATCTTTTACTCAAAATCATTTTTAAAGGTCACTTTCCTCCAAGGATTGGGAACAAGACAAGGGTGTGCTCTCTTGCCATTCTATTCAACATTGTATTAGAGGTCCTGGTTAGTGCAATTAGACAAGAAAAATATATAAATAACAGACAAAAATTGGAAAGAAGGAAACTAAACTATCTTTATTCATAGCTGACATGACTGTCTATATGGAAAATTCCAAAGAAGTCTATTTAATGCCCTCCACCCCAGAATTAAAAAGCAAGTACAACAAGGTTACAAGACACAAGGTCAGTATGCTTTCCTATATACCAGTAATGAAGAATTGGAATTTGAAATTAAAAAAAAAAAAAACCAATTGTAATAGCACCAAAAACAAAACAAAACTTAGGTATTTATGTAACAACATATGTACAGGTTTATATGTGGAAAACTATAAAACACTGATGAAAGAAGTCAAATTAGATTTAAATAAATGGAAAAATATTCTATCATCATGGGTCAAAAGACATTATTGTTAAGATGTCACTTCTTTTCTACTTGATCTGTAGATTCAATGTAATTCCAATAAGAATCCTACAAAACTATTTTAAAAATAGTAACAAACTTATTCTAAAGATGGTATGGAAAGGCTAAAGACCTAGAATACACAACACAGTGCTAAAAAAGAACAAAGTTAGGGGACTCAGTATTGGCAAAAGAACAGGCATCTAGGTCAGTGGAACAGAATATCGATTCTAGAAGGAGCCCCTCACAAATAGAGTCAGCTCATTTTTCATAAAGGTATAAAGGCATCCACTAGAGAAAGGATAATTTTTCAATAAATAGTGCTGGAACAGCAGACATGTGCATGTGTATAAATGCATCTAGACACAGACCTAAGCCCTTTCATAAAAACTCAAAATCAACCTTAGGACTAAATGTGAAACTCAAAACTCTAAAACTTACAGGGGGAAACAGAAGAAAAAAATCTGTATGACCTTGGGTTTGATGATGAAACCAAAAGCACAATCCATGAAATAAAAAATTGATTGGAACTTTATTAAGTTAATAAGATTTTTCATTCTTCAAAAGACATGGTTAAGAGAATTAAGAGACAAACCAGACACTGAGAGAAAATATTTTTCAAATATATATCTGATAAAGGACTTGTGTACAAATCATATTCTGAAAGCTCAACAGTAAAAAAAAAAAATGGCCCAATTAAAAACAGGCAAAAGAACTCAACAGATACTTCACCAAAGGAGATATCCAGATGCTAAATAAACTTATGAAAAGATGCTCAGTATTATTTATCATTAGAGAAAAGCAAAATCCTACACACCTATTAGAATGCCTCGAACACAGAAAAGCTGACAGTGCCAACTGTTGGCCAGGATCTGGAGCAGCACGAACTCCTGTGTGTGGGCGGTGGGAATGCAGTGAGGCAGATGTGTCCAACAATTGCACTCCTGGGTATTTACCCAGATGATTTGAAAGCTTACACACACATACATACACATATGCACATGGATGCACATAAGCACAGAAACATTTACAGCAATTTCATTCAAGTTTTTAAAAACTGGAAGCAATGGAGATGTCCTTCAGTAGATGAATGGGTAAGATAAACTGGAATAAGTTATCAAGTCATGTAAACATACAGATGGAATCCCAGCCACTCAGGAGGCTGAGGCAGGAGGATTGTGAGTTCAAAGCCTACCTCAGCAACTTAGCAAAATCCTATGCAACTTAGTAAGACCCTGTCTCAAAATAAAAGGTAAAAAGGGCTAGGGATGTTGCTCAGTGGTTAAGTGCCTATGGGTTCAATTCTGGCACCAAATAAATAAATAGATAGCTAAAAAAATAGAGATGAGGGGCTGGAGTTGGGTCTCAGTGGTAGAGCACATGCCTTGCACTCGTGAGGCACTAGGTTCGATCCTCAGCACCACATAAAAATAAATCAAGGTATTGTGTCCATCTACAACCAAATAATATTTTAAAAATTAAAATAAAAAATAGAGATGAATCTTAAATGAAAAAAGCCAATCTGGAAATGTTCCACATCAGAAACCTACATTCTCTTCTAGACTCGTGGATTCCGGAGCCTGCACCCACTGGGGCTTCAGGAAGCTCTGTTGAATCAAACTGTTGACCTGGATCTTCCCTTGCAAACTATGTGCTGCAGATCCAAAGTCAGCTCTGCCACCTCCCATAATTAGGCTAGAAAAATGTGTGGGGTTTTGGCATGTAGGAATCTATTAAATTATACATATAAAGTATCGTACTTGAGATTATGTGGCATAGAAGAGCATACATAGTTACATACAAGGTTATGGGCTGAGTGCTTGCTATCCAGAAACACTTTCTTCCATAACTGGCTAGTAAACATTTGAATCTGAACTTAATTTTGACAAATCCATGGAAAAAATGATTCTATGGAAACCCAGGCGTGTCCTGGAGGCAACCACAGATCGTTACACCAAGAAAACATTTCTATAATACTCCTGCTTAATATAAAAGGCAAATTGGTGATTCTGGGTTTTTCTTTCCTTGTTTTCTTTTGGAAAAGTAACAGTATTTCTGTTACAAGACTGTACTGTATCGCAGTAGTGGGCTTGCTTTGTTAACTCTGGGTCATCCTTCATTTTGTTTTTCCTTATAAAATGGAGGGTTTCAGGCCTGGGTTTGTAGCCCAGTGGTGAATGCTTGCCTACATGTGTGAGGCAATGGGTTCGATTCTCAGCACCGCACATAAATAAATAAAGGTCCATCGACAACTAAAAAATGTTTTTTAAAAATGGAGGGTTTCAGACTCCTTGCTTTCCTTCTCAGGCCACTCGCTCCCCATCCTTTGGCCCACCTTTCTTAGCACTTGGGTGTTCGTGTTTGCATCACACGTTGTGCGATAGTGAAACACCCTGAAACACAAGCCAGAAGGCCAGCCAGTTCCCAGCATTCCTTGGCTGACCCTTTCCTCTGTTTCCTTGAGGTGCTGTGAGTCAGCCCTACACTGATAGATGACTTTCTTGTTCCACCAGACTCAGGGATTTGGGGCTGTGGCTGGATGTGAGAGGTCAAGCATGAATGAGGTTCTGAACCACAGCTTCTGACATGCCCTTTAGGCACAGGCTGTCTCCAGGAAGCCATAGCTGCAACCTGAACTGCTCAGAATTTGGAAAGACTTTTTGTATCATTTATTCTTGGACAACCTTTCTTAGAAAATTAAGTTTGTGGCAGTTGCACACATTTTCAGTGAATCCTCCTTGTCTTGGGCCTACTTAGTGGATGTACTGTCAGTGCACACAGGCTGACCATGTGTCTGTCTGTCCAACTGTCCTCCCATCATCCATGGTCATCCTGCATCTAGATCCTTCTAAGTAGGTGTCCAGGCCAATTCATTTCTCAGTTCCCTGCAGCATCTGCAGAGACACTGGTATGTCATGGAGGCCAGTACTCCCCTGGGTGTACACAGACATGCCTGCTTCTCCCAGCACTGCTATATGTGTGGAGAGTGGGTGCTGAGAACATGGGCCCCACCCAGGGTCGGGTGCCACAAGGAGCCCTTCACCTCATATGACCCTGGGCCATGCTCTCCCAGCTTCCCCCCATGGATATCTCACAGCAGTAGTGGGCAAGGGTGATGGGTGTCTGGCATTTAACAACTTCTCTGGTTGTGTGTGTGTGTGTGTGTGTGTGTGTGTGTGTGTATTTGATTCTACAGGTCAGTTTTTGGGTTGTTCGAGAAATTCTAACAGCACAGACTTTAAAAATAAGGGCAGAAATCCTCAGCCATTTTGTGAAAATAGCCAAGGTAAGCTGTTTTATTATTATTTTCTCCCTCCCCCCTCCTTGTTTTTGTCTGAAAAATGTGCACACTGACCATGTGTCTGTCTGTCCAACTGTATTTGGGAAGTGCTTTTCTGTGGGCCTGGAGGACAGGGTTAAAATGGTGGGTGGGGATTGTGGCCTGAGTTCCCCAGGTAGGGCCACCTCTGAGATCCACCCTGCTGCCTATGCCCTGGTACCTGCATGTGCATCAGCAGCATGCTTCTCCATCTCATGACGCTGGCAGCCAGCCATTCTCCTTACTAGGCTTGCACTCTTTTCCCAAGGTCCTGTGGTGCCCCCTGGACTCTGTTCATTCTTCCATTGGATTTAGAATTGCTGGGTCTGAATGATTTTAGGTAGCATCAGTGCCTGTGATCTACTCATATCCTGCACAGTTATGTCACTAGTCAGCAGAGTCTGCTCCACCCCATCCTGAGCTCAGGCCTGGGCCAGATGACCCTGTGCCCTTCATTTCCATCTCCAGTGCCCCGCTTGGTATAGTCCACCCTGTCTGCTCATCTGGCCCCGACTTCCCCTCTTCTTCCTCCATCTGTTCCAGCCCCAGCTGGGCCATCCTGGTGCTTTCCCAGGCTGCTCTCAGGCCAGGAGTGTCTCCGCACGCCCAGCTCCCTGTCCTGTGCCTGCTGCAGTGGGCTCACCCCTTGCTCTGTGCATGCGTGTGTCCTCTTCCCACCCAGGCCCTCCTGAGCAGGCCGCAAAGCAGCTGCATTCAGCTGATTGCATTCAGGGCTCACATTAGTACCACCCAATTTGCAGAGGAAGAAGACTTGGAGAGCAATGTCCATGCCCAGGCCCCACAGAGAGTCAGCAGCAGAGTAGGAATAAAAGCCACATCTCTGCCTTCGGGGGAGCTGCTTAGCCGCCCTTCAGGGGAAGGTTAAGTGCATCCGTCTATAAAGATGTTGGGAGCAATGGTCACCAAATATCCCATTCATTCTCCTGAAGTACTTGGGACTGTCACTGGGTTTAATAATACTTATTGCTGTCAGTCAGTGCTATGATGGGCAGAAGAAAAGATATCTGGCTGTAGTTCTAATCCCTCCTGGGGCTTACAGTTTGGAAATGAGTTTATGGCCCCCATCTAAGGAGTCCCAAATGATCTGTCATTAACCTCCACCCTTTTCCTTACTGTAGATTGTCATGCTGGCCCCACATGCTGGGTATGTCCTTGGGCAAGCCCCTTCCCTTCTTTGGGCCTTGGTTTTCTCATCTATAAATTAGAAGAGGTAGGTTAGATAAACTCCCAGATGCCTTTGGCACTGAGAGGAAATTCAGTGATAGGCACGGCAGTTCAGATACTAGAATGCAGTTCAGTTCACTCGGGGAATCTGTTCTCACACAGGAAACAACTAGAAATTGTTACAAGATGTGTGAACTGAAGTATTAATCTGTGTGGTCAGAGAAAACTTTCCAAGTAAGAATAGAGCTATGAGGCCCAGACACAAGGGCTTTTCGTTTATTTATTCATTTTACCTGTTATGTGCTGGGTGCTGAACTAAGTACAGGGACATGATATCTCAGGGGACACACTGTTCAGGGTGAGAGAGAGGCAAATAAAAAGCAAGTACAATCTAGAACGTGAAGAATACAAAGAGTGTGGGAACACAGATGGAGTTCCCACCACCATAAATTTGGGAATGTGGTCTGGAAAACCATATTAGAGGAAGTGGTATCTGAGCCAGGAATTACCCAAGATGAGGAATGAGCAAAGGGAAGATGAGTCTTCCAGAAAAAGACTGAGACCATCTCACACCACCCAGCCCAGGCTGCACCATCTCATGCAGCACAGGTGCCTTTATCACCTTCCCCATGTTACCTGTGAGGACATCAAGGTGCAGAGGATTGCGTAACTTGTCGAAGGAAATGCAGAGTGGGAGCTGGGATTGGAACCAGGCCTGCAGGTCCCGTAGAACCTACTCGCTAGCCCAAGCTTCACTGTCTCCCAAGAATGAAAAGTGGAACCTTGTCCTGTGAGCCCGTATCCCTCAGCATAAAACCAAGAACAGAGCCATTACATTTTTCTGCATTTACTCTCTATTCTGTCTCCTTCTGTTGCCCTTCCTGGTAAGGAACTTGTCTGAGTCTGAATTGACTCCAAATGTTCTCACTAATTTGGGGTCTGGTTCAAGGGAGCATGGTGAATAGCCTGCCTTCCCAGCTGAGAGGGATTACGCAGATGGCTAACATCTTCCCTCAGCCATTTCTCATCCGGGCGTTAAGGTAATGGCAGAAGAACTGCTGATACTGTTGGCACGGCCAGGATTTTAGCTTACAGAAGCCTGTTGGGACAGATTCATCTAAAAATAGACCATAAAGGGATTATCGAATCTTATCCTGAGCCACATTTCTGTCCAGCAACCAGACAAGTCAGCTTATGAAATTTTGCAAGCCTTTTAGATGCAGACTCACCTTTTGACAATTAGAGCAAAAGCATATGGTTCCTATGAACTTCCTAGAACTATATTTTCTACATGAGATATTTTTAAGTGTAATTGAATTTCATGAATATGACAACATTTGGTAACACTTGGCATGTTCTTGTTCTGTTGTTTATAGCTGCAAAATAATGTATTCCATATCTTTTTTTCCCCCCAGAAACTTCTAGAACTCAACAACCTTCATTCTCTCATGTCTGTGGTGTCAGCATTACAAAGCGCTCCCATCTTCAGGCTGACAAAAACCTGGGCTGTAAGTTAATCTCCCTAAGTCTATCCCTTTGATTTCAGCTGTCGTTTTGTTGGTGAAGATCTGTGTTGCTTAAGCCCCTGGCTTTCTCTGTTCATCTGCACTTTGCCAAGGACAGAGTTATTGTGAATGCATGGAACATCCTCTGGCATCCTCGTGGCTCAGTGACCCCAGCCCCATTTTGGTCCAAGGGAGTAGTGGTGACCATGCTGATGTGGTTGGGGCTGGCATCCCCTAAAGTGGCTCTTCCTGGGCGCTGTTCTATGATGGCTGGGTCAGCATGTGACTCTTGCCCTGCACTTGGCTGGTATTTGTCTCTGGCAGACTCCACACTGCCCTTGGGAAGCTCTTTGGACTGATGGTTTGCAGCTGCCCTGGGTCACTGGCCATATAGCTCAGAGTTTCTCGGGAGAAACCTGTGACCCTCATGTAGGAAAAAATGACTTTTTGCTTGCCGTTTTTTTTCATCTCTGAGGCCATGGATAATTTCAGCTCAGAGGTGGAGTCTGATAGTTATATAATTGAGTCTGTAGGAAAGTTTTTCTGCCGTAAAAATACTTTAAAAATATCTCAGTCCTCTTTATTCTCCTTTGCTTGGCACAGCGCCTGACATGGGGGAAGTAATTGCTATTTCCATAGCTCATTAGCATTCACCTCCTGGCCCGCCTGGTCCAGGTCTCTCGCAGCCACAAAGCCCAAGCCTTTCAAGACCTGTTTATGTCCCACAGAACTGATGGAAACTGTATGGAATTGTCAGATGTGCTTCTACAACTCATTTCCGACCTTCCTTCTGCCAATCTATGGGGCTAGGCTCTGTTTCCTACTTGGCTGGTTTAGGGGCCTTTAAAATACTTAAGGATTATGTTGGAGGTGACCAGAAATAAGCCTTGTTTCTTTAAATTTCAGCTTTCCATAGATCTAGTCCTAGCAGAGTAGGGCAAAAAGCATTAGCCTCGAGTCTAAAAACGAGGTCTGTGTTCAGGCAGCATTCGAGCCCTGGCTCCTGTGGGCTCTTTTTCCCATCTCTACTTGGGAAACTTGGTTTAGGTTAGTGGTTTTCTGTCAGTGCTTTGTGGAGCCCTAGGGATCCTCAGAATTGCCATGAGTGCCATCAGGGGCTCAGGGGGAGGAGAAAGGGTGCCAAGCAGGCAGCTCGGGTGCTGTTTCCACTAGAGCCCTGTTTGTGTTTTTTATGTATTGGGCTCCTGGATGAATTGCAACTGAGCAATGGCTTTGGAGGTCAAAAGCAAGTTTGGAAGCCACTGTTCTCTGCAGCAACTGCCAACCCTGTGACTCCAAGTACATCTGAGCAATGAGGCTTTTTTTTTTTTAAAGTTGCTTCAAGATTCTTCTTCAAAGTATGTCATCTTCTACACTTACTGTTATTGTTTCTTGGACTCCTAAGGGCTATGCAAGGACTCAGAGGGCTGAGTTTTGAATCTTCTCATGTGTAGAGTCCCAACTGTCAGCAATACTGTAAATGGGACCCCTACAAACTAGTCAGCGAGGGCAGAGTGAGTGAATCAGCACCAGTGACCAGGGCTGGCTAAAGTCCCTGCACAAAGATGTGACCTACTCAGGGACAGGCAGGACCCATCAATGAAGCTGTGGATCATATTCTCCAAAGGGTGTCTACTGCCAGGACTGTGGGGCAGCATCAGGTCAGAAGGACGCCTAGGGCTGCTCTGTTTAGCCTGATGAGTACTGCTCAGGGCGGCTGCGTCTTCACAGCTGTTGATGGGTCTTTGAGGCAATGAAAATAGACCTCCCATTGTTCCTTCAGAGTCCTAGAATGCAATACCCACCCAGGACCCCCTGAAGCAGGGCCCTTCACCTGGCTCCCCTCCAGGCCTCATGGGCCAGCCACTCTTCCTCACAGATTTGGCAGAATAAAAACACGTGGCAGCCACTGCCCTACATGCTCTAACTTATTTTAACTCCTTTATTCTCAACAGCTACCCGTGGAGACAGGTACAGCTTTACTCTCATTCACAAGGAGGAAATAGAAGCACAGTGAGGTGGAGCAATTTCTTCAGAGCCCCACAACCAAGTGGCAGAGCTGGGATCAAAGCTTTGCAGTCTGGTTCCAGAGTCCTTGCACACAACCACCAAAATCCACTGATCTGAGCAAGCACAATTCCAACCTATCACCTGTCACTCTAAATAAAAGCAGGAACTTTATATATATAAACTTTTATTTTATTTACTTATATGTGGTACTGAGAATCGAACCCATGCCTCACACGTGCCGGCAAGTGCCATACCTCAGCCCCTAAGAGTAGGAACTTTTTGAATTTTTTAAAAAATATTTATTTTTTAGTAGTTGGACACAATATCTTTATTTTTTTAATTTATTTTTATATGATGCTGAGGATCGAACCCAGGGCTTCACACATGCTAGGTGAGTGCTCTACTGCTGAGCCACAATCCCAGCCCTTTAAATTTTTAATTTAAAAAATTTTCTCCTCTGTCAGAAATCCTGTGTTAGGAACTTTGGAGATGAGTGGACTGTCAGCACTCCCCAGGCCATCAGGCTTCTGTCTTTGCTGTGGCTGCTGCTTGCTGGTATCTGGCCACTGCATTGCAGCAGAAAGGGAAGTCAGAGGAGGGCTAGTGGGGTCAGGGGGGACATGCAGCTGGAGAGCTGCAGGCAGACCTTGAAGGCTTCCTTATCAAGTGCTTTTTTGGTTTATCAAGTTACTCCTTGGTTTATCCAAGCTATGGCTTCTGTTGCTGTTTACTCCTTACTCCCCTGGGATTGACTGTTGATTCTGTCACCTCTGGATTTAGCTGGCAGAACCAGGGAGATGCCTGGGATCTGAGGTCACCTTCACCAAGGAACAGGGAAGTCAGGACAACACATCCTGACTTTTTCTGAGAAATCTTCCCATTGTTTCCCAAGGACAGGGAGCTGGGCTGCTTCCCTAGTTACAGAGGCCGCTTAACCAGGGCAGAAGGTGGGAGGATGCAGCATTCTAGGAAATAGAGTGGTAACTGGAAAGCCTGGGGTCAGGGAGAGGGGAGAGGCAAGGCAGACTGTATAGATTACAGCCTGAGGGTTTTTATGTCATTCACTGTAGCCTTTTATTAGGTTGACTCCCCTCTTCCAACCACCTGTCCTGTTAATCCAAGGATAGCATTTGACACAGAACATTTGACCAAAATGCATTTGACACAGAACATTTGACCAAAATTTGACCAACAAGAGACCAAACTCATCTTACCCCTCTCAAATTGTCCCCAGCCCAGTGAAGTGGACAGCTCCCTGGTCTGTACTCTTGTGTACTGGCATGTGGTAGCACCCAGGTGGAGCATGTGTCTGTCTGCTCCATGGTTCTGTCTAAAGCCTGCCTCCTCCCTTGACTGCAGTCTTCTGTGATGATGTCTGATTTTTCTCTGTATCTCTGCCTGCCTACATGTGTTGTTTTGACTATATGTGCCCCCACCCCCTCCAAAGAGCTGTTTCATTTCTTACCTTGTCCCTTGAGCTGGGACTGGTAAGACCTCAGGGGCCTGCAGATCAGGGAGGAGCAGGAAGCTCTGGAGGGATGAGCTATAACAACCCAAAAGCCAGTGCTTTTATAGTCCTCATTTTACCAAGGAGGAAAACGAGTTCCCAGAGATGGAGTGATCTGTCTAAGATCCCAGAGCTAATGAATGCCAACACTATGGGATATAGCCCTGCTAGACCCCAGAGCCTGCATTTCCCCTGTGGGGGTGGCTTGTGATGGTGGGAAGTGTAAGGCAGTCAGGTTGGGCACTGGTAGGGATAAGCAGTCCCACACACTGCTTGGGAAGTAGCACTGGAGAAAAGAGCCTGGCACCTTGAGCTTTCTGAGCTGTCCCTGGGAGTTGCATTGAAATCCTAAGCATCTGGGGGACCTGGATGGAAGGTGGTTACAGGTATGAGAGGTGGCCTGGCACTTTGCTGCTTCTTGAATGGCCTCTAGTGAGGAGTCAGTTGGTCATCATCTAAGACAAGGCAGCCTATTGGCCTGTGCATGGCTGGCCTCTGAGTGCCAACAGCTGGGCGAGCTAGACAGGACAGAGACTGACACTGAGCATAGATCTGTAAGCAGTAGGACCTAATAAATGCATGACGGATATACAAACAGGAAGGGAGTCATAGCTAGCCTGGAAAAATGCAGGCAGGGAATGGTATATCCAAGCACTGGGGCTGCTTTGGAATATTGGCTGCCTCAAAGCCATGAAGTCTAAGCAAGAAGTTGCATCAGCCAGTTCTGATTTCCTGAGTACACATCACCTTGTGGCTGTTATTCATTCTGCAAATTAAATATTTATCAAATGCTGCCTCCATGCCAGGCCCTGAGCCTATGGCCAAGGCCTTACCCTCATGGGCTTTTACATAATTCAGGGAGAAAAAAACACATGTCTAGTCCAGCTGGCACAAGAAGTGATCAATAGGTGTTGGTTGAATGTGTGAAGGTAGTGAACAAGGAATGATGAGACAAGAATAAAAGCAATGCAGAGACTAAATGGGGAGGGGGTGTAGCTCAGTGGTTGGGCCCTTGCCTAACATGCATGGGGCCCTGGGTTCCATCCCCAGCACTGGAGGAGAAAAAAAGGTAAGTGTTGGTATGAGACTAAACAGGATGGCATGATGGAGAAGGACTGGATGTCAGCTTTAGCATGGGCATTCAGGGGAGGCCTCTCTGAGGTGAGATCCCATACCTCAAGGCCCGAAGGGCAAAAAGGAAGCAACCATAACAGGATGAGGGAGTGAGCCTTCCAGGCAGAGGGGCAGCCGGTGCAGAGGCCCACCATGGGAATGAGCTTGGAGTGACGGAGGAACCTGCAGGCCAGTGTTCCTGAGTCTCACTGTGCCAGGAGGAGGCTGGCGTGTGGGGCTGGTAGCCCTGGAGGAGTCAGATTCTGTTTCAAGGGCACCAAGGGCTTTAAGCAGACAGACATGAGCTAGTTTTACAGTGGCTCTAGGTTTTTGTTTTTAATCACTGTTGCTACTTCGTGGAAGATAGATTGGG